CACACACACACACACACACACACACACCCCTTGAACTTGTGCTGAATAACCCCCATAACTCCCAAACACACTGCAAGAATAATCCAGTTCGAGACCGCTTTAACCCTCCTGGCTCAATGCTAGGGGATTCCAGGAACTGTACCTTTTGAGAGACATGGAGAATGTCAGAGTCTGACAGATGTCACGACAAACTACAATTCCCGGGATTGCCTAGCACTGAGCCAGGGCAGTTAAAGCGGTCTCAGACTGGATTGTTTCTCCAGTGTGTTTTGGACCAGGGTCACCGAAAATATAATAAACATCCCTTCTCATCTGCACTGAGACAGAAAGGTCCCCCGGCTTGAGAATCTGAGCTCTGGGACACCATATTCTGTACCATAAGCAAAGACAGGCATGGCTTACCTCTTTCTGGGAACGGTTAATGCCCCATTTCTGTGCCTTTTCCTAAAAATCTGGCTGCCCCCATCCCTGCTGGGTGTCTCTCTCTATAAAATGGCAGCTATAGCATTTTAGCCAAAATGAATGAGCGATTCTCTCTCTTTTAATTTTGCGCCTTTCCATCAGGCGCAAACAAAAACCTGCCCTTTGCTTAGTGTTAGCAGTGGAGGTTTTTACCTGTTTTTGGTGTGTAGTGTGCCCTGGCTTCTCTTGATGGTGTTTCTGACCCTGGGATGTTTCTAGCGTCTTTATTTTGTCTTCTCAGTATCAAGCATCCTTGGCTGGTTGGTATATTTTTAAAGCAATATTTCTGAGCTGTTTCCAGAAGGGTAGCTGTGACTACTGCCTCACTGCAGAATTAATGCAGTTTGACACTGCTTTAACTGTCATGGTTCCATCCTATTGAATCCTGGGGTTTGTAGTTTGTTATGGCACCAGAGCTCTCTGGCAAGGATGGCTAGATATCTTCCAAAACTACAAATCCCAGAATCCCATGGGATTGAGCCATGACAGTTAAAGTGGAGTCAAACTGCATTAATTCTGCACTGTAGATGCAGCCTAGTCTGTTGTGCCAAAAAAAAGCAATTGAGTGTCTTGGTTTTCATACTACTAGGCTGCTCAAGAACAACAGAGAATCTTTTGGCTTTTTAAGGATCAACATATTTATTGTGGTATATAATAATGTTTTTGGTGGCCCAAAGTCCCCTTAAACAGATACAGGTCTGCAAATTCTGGATTACTACATTTCATGAGCTTCATGAAAAGCTGACAGCACAATAAACATGTTGCTCCTGAAGGCGCCACTGGATCTGTTGTTTCTGAACAGTGTAAAATCCTTTTGTCTTTTCTTGAAAGAAGAGAAAAGGTGAACTCAGACCTCTGGAGAGAAGATCTTAAGAGTGGAAAATTTATGATTTAGGAAGGTGCTTTTCCACGCAGCTCATGGTAAACTAATATGATTTGCTGCCAGAGAATGTGAATGTATGATCAGCTTACATGGCTTCACAATTTTATTTTAAACATTCATGGGAGAGAGGAGTCAGTAGCCATGTTGGCTATATGGAAACTTGTTCAGAAGTGGTCTATCTCTAAATACTGTTGACTGGGAAGCAAAGGTAGGGAGGATGTCCTGCTTGTGGGCTTCTCAGAAGAATCCAGTTGACCGTTGGGGGGAAACAGCTGCTGGATTTGCTCCTGATGGACTCTTCTTTTTTTTTTTTTTCTTAATTGTATATCCTGGGAGAAAGATGAGATATAAATAAATAAATAAATATCGAAAACATATTTTTGCTTTTCATGTATCCTGCTCCCATTCCACATTGGTATTGTTCTAGGTGTGTGTGTGTGTGTGTTGTGTGCCTTCAAGTCATTTCCAATGTATAGCGACGCTAATCAGGTTTTTCTTGGCATGTTTCTTCAGAGAGGGGTTGCCATTGCCATCCTCTGGGGCTGAGAGAGTGTAACTTGCCCAAGGACACCCAGTGGGTGACTATTATTCAAGTCAAAGAATGTGGGGGAATGCTTCTGCATAAGCTGTGTAATCCAACACAGAGGTAGGACTTCAAATTTCCTTCTGATATAATCGCTCTTCTCTTTTTCCTTCTCTGTTCTCTGCAGGGGTTCAGCTATTGCCAAGATTGTGGGTAGCAATGCAGCCAAACTGGACAAGTTTGATACTACTGTAAACATGTGGGTGTTTGAAGAGGAGGTTGGCGGAAAGAAACTCACTGAGATCATCAATACGCAGCATGAGAATGTCAAGTATTTGCCCGGCCACAAGTTGCCACCCAACGTGGTATGTTTGGAAGAAAGGATGGCTGGGAGGGCGGGCAGACAAGCAGCACTATGGTGCAGGTAGTATGGGCATTCATATTCCAGATTGGATTGCAAATCCTATCAGCTTTAGTGAAATCAGTGTTGAGGGTGATGGGACCTGCAGCCCAACAACAACAGCTGGAGGGTCACATGTTTCCCACCACTGACTGAGAGCTGTTATAAATGTCAGAGGTAGTCCAAGACATTTGGGTGCCTAAGGCAGAAAATCCTACTATATTCTAACTAGCCAAACAATTTCCCCTTTCCGACTCTCTTACAGCATCTCAGTACTTTCCTCCTGTCACTCACAGTAGTCCTGGCCCAGGATAATATCAGCCAGCCTGAAAGTGGCATATTGAAGAACTTTCCAGCATGTGCATTAAGGCAGACTTCAGACATGTGTGAATTGCTTGGAGTGCAAAAAGTGCTATACAACTGTCTTGTGATTACCTTTATTTATCTTCTGCCCAGACCTGGAAGTGATCTTGCTAACAGTGAGCTCCTTTCCCAAAATCTATAAGGCTGCCATATAACACCAGACCATCACTGAGCTGTCTAGCCTAACCAGTCTTGGCTACTCTGAGCCACAGTAGAGGAAGGTCTTTCCCATTATTGGCTTCCTGATCCTAAGTCAAGAGTTGGACTTTCCAAATACTGAGGTTCTCCAGATGTTGTTGGACTGCAGCTCCTTTCAGCCCAAGCCAG